GGATGCAGGTGCAGGGTGGGCGTGGGGAGCCAGGCAGGACTGAGGGCGCCGGCCGTCCTAGGTGCGCCGGGAACCGCGCTTCTCTTGGTGTGGGCCTTGGAGTCCCCGAGGATCCCGTTGCCAGGCGGCGCCCCCTGGTGGCGGATGCGACTCCAGGACCTGGGAGGCCCAGGGGCCTCTGCAGACCTCCGCGCCTGCGCCGTGCTGAGCGGTCCCCCAGCGCGAAGCAGAGGCGGGGACCCAGTGGTGGCTCTTTTCCCTTGTTGGCGGAATGGCGAGGTAATTGCTCGTTATTAGGCTGTCGGGAAGATTCAGGGAACGGATGTGGGAAAAGCACTTAGGATGGCCCATTCCGAGCTTCCACCCAATCAATTTTCCTGTGTCTGGAGAAGTGGCTTGGGTCAAAGAGGAACCTGTGAAAACTGCCTCTGTCCTGTCTCAGCATGTACACCAGGGAGAGCTCCTGGTTCATGCAGAGCCCCAGCTCTCATAAATAGGGATCCTGAAGGGGTAAGGGGGAGAAGAAGAAAAGGGGAGGTGGGAGGTTTCAGCAAATATTAGGCCTGAGATCGCTGCAGACTGTTATGAATTTAAGGAGTGCATGGATTTAGAGAGGAGGGGTTGGTAACCATGGGGACTTGAGGGAAGCCTTGCTAAGTTGGTTGCCCCAGGCTGCCCTGAATCTGAGCCTTCCTGACTCTTAGCTCCCTGCCTGGGGTTCCAGCACCCAGCTGGGTGGAAGGGGACCAGAAGTGGGCAAGAGGAGAGAGGAGCTCCTACTTGCCCAGCTCCCACGAGGGAGGGCGGAAATTGCGGGGTGAGTGTCTTGTCCGGGTGTGTGGGTAGTGCAGGGCGGTCCAGGAGCCCTCCTGCATCCTGCGTGCGAGTTCTGTGTATACCCACAAGAGTATTCTGAGCCGGAAATGCTGGATGGGCTCCGGGCCATTCCTTCACAGGCTGGGCAGAGGTGGGTGTGCCCCACGGCTTATTCGCCTGCATGAGCCGGGCCCTGACGGCTTCCGAGGGTCCTCTAAGCCGGCAGTCCCCAACCATTTTGGCACCACGCACCAGTTTTCTGGAAAGCAGTTTTTTTCCACAGAAGTGGTTGTGGAAGCGGTGAAGAATAATTCAGTGGAGCCCACAATCTAGCAGTTCGAGCGCCGAGGCACGGCTGTACACACAGATAAACCTGCACTTGCCTGCCACTGCCTTCTGCTGTGTGGCCTGCTTCCCACCATGGCCTGGGCTTGGACTCTGTCCAGACTCTTAAGCCTGGACCCGAGCCCCTTCCTGGCCTCAGCGCTGCTATTTGCATGCTTCCCGGGCTATGACTTCTCAGAAAGGGCAGCATTTCTGCTACCTTACCTTTGTCCACACTGTCGCCTGTTCCCTTGGCCTGTTCTCTGGTACCTTTGACTCTCTTGAAACGCTGCCCAAGTCCCTTCTCTGATCTCTGACGTAAATGAACTCATAGCAACTGTACTTTGCCCTGTGTTAAGTTCCTATTCTTGCTTGAAGCACATACTCCGGAAGGTCAGGGACAAGGGCTTGTCATCTCGCCCTTGCACACGTGGAGAGTTAAGTGAAGAAAGGGAAAGCATGAGTGACAGCTGGAGGGGACCTCATCCTATCCATTGGGGAGGGGGACAGTCACATGGGCCTCGGGGGAGGGACACTCCTTAGTGTTCCACTAAGGCTCAGTGCATTGCCTGTTCCCCATCAGGGACCTTGCCCAGTCTGCTGTCCTCCCTTGGCCCCCTTAGCTTCTCATCCTTTGCTCTCTGAAGACGGTCTTTGGCGGGCCCTGATTCTCTTTCAGCCACTGTGCCATCGCTGCATCCTGGGTGCCAATCTTCTGACCCACCTCCCCTTCCTCTGCAGATGGCCTTGACCTTGCATGGGTATCAGCCCCCAGCTTTGGGGACCCTTCATAGATGGTTCTCCACTGAGACACTTCCCAGTTGTGCTTCTCCTTTCCCTACAGCCTCACAAAGCTGGGTGAGCAGCTGTCTCCATGCAGTTCATGCCCGATGGTAGAGGATTCTAGTTCTTATCCACAGCTACCCTTTTCTCTGTTCTGAAAACACAGAATTATCCTTCCCAACTCCAAGGCATATAAACAGGGCTAAGTGACCAGTTCTGCTGATGGGCTGGAAGCAGAGTGCAGCATGGCCCTGGTGAGTCAGAGCGTGCACTTACAGGGTGAATCTTCCTGGACTTCCTCCTCCTGTCCCAACAGCCATAGTGACCTGCTGAGAGGGTGGTACCTTGGGATCCAAGAAAATGGCATGAGGGGCCCCGTTGGTAAGCCACACCTCTGGAGAGTCACCCAGATCTGCCATGGACTGTGTGAGAGTAAAAGATACACTTGTGGTGGGGGTGTAGGTCCATGGCAAAGCACTTGCCTAGTGTGGTCCAAGTCCCTGGTTTTCATCAAAGAAAGGCAGGGGGGAGAGAGACAGACACAGAGAGAGAGGAAGAGAGAAGAAGATTGAGTCACATGACTGAGATCGGTGAGGCTTGTTAGGGAAGCATAGCCAAGCCTATGCTGAAGATTTACTGCTCAAAGCTGTGTTTTAAGTGAATCAGGAGCCTCGTACACTGTAAAGACCTGTGTACACTTTATTATTGCTATTGTCGAGGTGGAGCAGGTGTCTAGGGAGGCAGGGGCCCTGAGAAGCTGGGGAGTCCTGTCTAGTGTGGCCATGCAACGGGAAGGAGGTGGGAGAGGAAGGGGGATGAATGGTCAGGGTGTGCCGTGGGAGGAAGGCTTTCTCTCATTTATGATTTGCCAAGGGCTTGCCTAGGACCTGTTTGTATACTTAATCTCTGATGAAGGGATATAGTGAATGTAGCACTCTTGGCAGTAGATGGACATTTCTCCTAGGTATTTAATTCCGGTGGTGGAGAAAGGCAGCATTTTTCTTCTGAATTTTCAGTGTCTCTGTCTCTGTCTCTGTTCCTGTTTCTCTCTCTCTCTCTCTCTCACACACACACACTCACACATACACACACACACACACACACACACACATACACAGAATCAATGTCAATCTAAGAACCTGTCATCTAATATTTTAATATCACCTTTATACTACCTGAATTCAGGTCCCATTTTAACTATATCTTTTCATCCTTGAGAGCAGTTGAAGACAATCATAATACGGCTTTGTTTCTTAAGCAGGAATCTGCTGACCAGTCACCAGATGGGGTGTCACCTCCGAGGTCTGCTTGTGTGTAGAGTTCTTAGGGGCTTTTCTTCTTAAAACCGTTACCTCTTTGTCCATTTTCCCCATGACTCTCCTTTAACTCATCATGTTATAGAGCTTACTGGGCCTATAACGAATACTTGCAATGCTCCATGCTGTTTGACTAGAAGGTGGTTAACTGCAGTATTGCCTGGTTTTCCTCATCTCTGTTACCCATCCTACATTGCCCTAAAGAGATTCTTCAGCTCAACTCTCATGGCTGGTGAACTACTACATAAGTAACCCCCCTAACTTCAGAATGACTCTGTAAGGAATATGGGGTTGAATCGGGCAGAGGGGCTGGGCAGCCTGTTCGGAGTGCAGGCTTGGCAAGTTATTATTTGTGTGAAGTTGACCGTGATAATTACTTTCTTGATTTCAGATTCTTCATTTTCCTTAAGACCTAAGACTAGTCTGGCCACCCTCATGGGGTTGTAGCGAGCTTCTTTCTAAAGGGATTTGGGCCAAAGGATGATTGATAACAGTATGTTTGGTTCTCACTGTATTTTACCTCTCTTATTCCAAGAAGGGTCAAAGAAGGGCAGAGAAGAACAATCCCTGCAGAGCCTTCCTTTCCTGGCACGTTTGTTCATCTCTTGTGGGGTTGGATGGTGTAAGCAGATGGAGTGGTTCATGGGGGGAGCCTCCTAGGACTGCATTGGGTCATCCAGTGGGAAGAGGGAGCAGAGCTGTGCCTGGGGGGATGTGTTTAACCTCCAGGCTCTGTGGAGAAGCAGGGCCACTAGGGGGCCTCAGACTGGGACAGGATCACAGACCTTTAAAGCATAGGCCTCCAAGGACCTTGAGGTAGCTCTGGGAACCAGTCCTAAACATAAACAGTGTTGAATTTCCAGCCACGCAGCAGGAGGGGGCTTGACACCAGCTTCAGCATAATGGAGAGAGACAACTGTGACATTTCTTGCACATCCAAGCTTGGGAATGAGCGTCCCTCTCTGAGTGCTGATAAGAAGCTATTGGGACTGTGAACTCTTGGCTTGTTTCTTTCACCTTTGAGCTCCTGGCTGCAGCCACCCAGGAAATCATACTCTCAGACTGGCATCCCTTTACCCTGTCACCCTTCACTTGCAGCTGAATTTACCAAAGCCTTGCCAGTTGATGTGTTTCTTCTGGGTAGCCTAAACCAAGGCAGGCTTGCCCAAAGCTCAGCTGCACTGTTGACTGGTGACATGGAGTTTGAGGACCACCCACAGCTTTGTGTTAGGGCCAGTAAAAAAGTGCCATTTCTGTGTCCCTTTCCCAATTACAGAGACAGACTGGGCCTTAATGTACAAAATTTACACTGTAGCAACATCCTCTATGAGTATCTTACACTCAAGGATGTTCTTTTTTACTAGAAGAGAGATGAGAGTGACACCATTATATATTCCTTGCTGAGATTAGGGAAAAGATTTGCCAATGGGGTAGTAAGACGTCATTTGTGATTATGATATTAATTCAGCTTTGTGCCATGGACACAGTTCAAGTCTACTTCTGATATACACTTGGGGTAGTAATAAGGCCTCCCGAGAGCTTTATAATTGTCTTTAACAGTTACCTGAAGAATTTTACTGGAGGAATAAGTTCCTAGTGCATGCTCAGTACCAGGTAGACAAGTTGAGAGCCACATACCTTAAATCCCTTTGGTGACCTAAGCCCTCTGAGGACTGTGGCATGGGTACTTTCTCTGTCTAGAAGGTTCTGTCTATTCTTTGGTAGATATATATGACAGCATAAAGTCATGACCAAGTCATATCAGTAGCAAAATTATAATATATTAGTAGCAATATAATAGAATAAAATTTTGAGAGGGAAACCAAGCTTCCAGAACCTGAAGGTTGGCATTCAGTGTTCATGAGCTCAGTGGAATTCAGTGTCTTCAGGATTTGTTAAATTGAAGTAAGAAAGACCAGGGTTAGTTACAGGGAATTGTTTTCCATACAGGTCCATTGCAAATGCTGAGAATGGCCCCTGAGGTTGCACGGAGCACCTTCCCAGCTGAACTGTGAGGAAACCGGCTGGTGGCTTCGAGAGGAAGACTGGAGAGGGGCTTCCACAGATGTAGAGTCGCACAGCAGTTTGGCCACAGACATAACTTTTGGGCTTGTTCCCTCATGAGGTGGTTTCCATTGTGCTTGGGGAGGAGGGCTTTCAAGAAGGGTGGCACTCAAAGAGCACGCACTTCAGTGACCAAGTCCAGATGCCCCAGTGGACACAGTGAGCCAGGTGTCTGCTTCACAGAGGAGTCCATACATGGGGCCATACATGCTCAGGTCAGGGTCCTTTTTGCCAGGCTTTGGATGCTTGTGCTTGACAAGTATGTATTGTCACCACCCCTCACTGTCCATACTGGCCATCACACACAGTCTGGGAGGCCCTCATGTCAGTGGAGAGGTGAGATAAGATATGAGGGTAGCTCTCTGGAGAACCACATACTGGCATGGCTGAGCTCAAAGGGGGTCTCCAATAAGCAGAATAATTGCTGGTGAATAGTGTCCTTTGTTGGGATCTATCTCTGAATCTTTATCCCATAGCAGCAGTGTCTCCTAGCACTGGCTCACCAAGAGCATCCACCTCTTTGGAGGCAATGAAAAGACGCCAAGAAATTGTTGATTACCATAGTCTGCCTGAACCTAGGAAAGTCAGCCTTGTTGGCCTCTGTGCAGTGTGCTGCAGCTTGCATCCAGGTGGTCACAGCTGACATCTGTCTGCTTCATTGTGCGTTCTGCTGGCATCTCAGACCGCCTCTCTTCAGTCCTCTGCATGCAGGCTGAAGTCCATGTGAAGCCACCTTCTCTGGTCACAGGGAAATGTAGAGAGGGTTTTCCCGTGGCTCTGAGATGAAGGGGGGTCTCATTCCCACCATCAAGGTGAGTCACAGGGCTCTGGGACATTTCACAGCTCCTCCTGGGTCTTCACTATATGTGGCTTTCTCAACGTGACGTGTAGCCCCAGGAAAAGGAAGATAAATACATGCAGGTCTAAGGACAGAAAGGTTTTGGGTTCACAGGGTTAGCAGGGTTTTTCAGTTGTTGCTGTGGTGCCAGAGTCTGGGTAACAGAAAAGGAGCTGTACTTCTGACTCTGAAGCTTCCAAGTGGGTTCTAGGGGGCAGGAAAGGAGCATCTCAGGACCAAGCGGAGCCTGCCCCACCTGGATTCCACGCTGTGTGAGCTGAGACGCAACAAGAGCTATGACTGGCTTCTTCCTCCCGGAGCCCAGCTCTAGGTATTAGTGGCTCAGCCACTGTCTTCCTCCTCTTACTCTGTTCTCTGCAGGGTATGGGCAGATAGGAAAGCCTGGCTGCCTGGCAAGGAATGCACATCCATTTTTCTTTCTTATTTTAAAAATAAAAGGAAGCAACGTGTTAACATGAGTGGATACGGGCAGGTGTGGAGGAGGAGTAAGGAGAGGGTCAGATGAGGTCTATTGCCTTCTCCTGCACATTGTACTCTCTGTTCTTCTTCACTTTCCAGCTGATGAAGAAAAGCAGCAGTATGCCCAGTGCCTTGTAGGCCATCTGCAGGCCCAGGTACCTGTCGGTTAGATGAGACAGGAGTGGTGAGCGACAGGGTCTCTGTAGCCTTCTTCCCAGGTCCAGGCCACCAAGCAAGAGGATCATCCTTCCCACAGTGGCTCAGGGAATGTGTTTGTCACCACTGGAGTAAGAATCTGTCCCTACCCAGGCAGGGCTCGCTTTCCTCGCTCTTCTGACTTGGCAGAATCCTCACTACCAGTACAGTGCACAAGGAACAAACATGGGACTCCGTGTTCCTCAGCCCCCCACTGATGCAGCCTAAGTGTCAGAGGTGACGCAGCCACCCAGCCAGCCCTAAAGGCAGAGGGAGGAGGGAGGAGCGTCTTCTTGTTACCCTACTGCTTGCTCTGGCTCCGGGCCTGCTGCACCAGCCTCTCAAACCCACCTTCCTTGCAGTTTCCGGTTTGTGTGATGATGGAAGCAGGTAAGGTGGCAGGAGTGGTGGGGGGGGTAGAATTCCACAGGCTGTGGCTGACCGTGGCTACCCCTGCAGGAGCCATGGTGGGGCCCCTCTTTCTGAGTAGTAGGCGGCTGGGGGTCCCCCCACATCTACAGCTGGTGACCCTCAGACTGCAGCAGCTACTCCTTCCCCTTACACTGCTTCTTTCAGCGGCTGCTCCACTCCAGTGGCTGTGGCCAGTATGTGAGGAACCATCTAAGTACCTGGGTGATTCCCTGTGGGTCCTGAATGCCTGCCATGGTGTCCCTGCTCCTTCTATGGAGATGGTCCTCCGGTCCTCCCCTCTCAGCAGCCCCCATGGGCATATGGCCATTATCTGCTTGGGCTCTAGGGATGGGGTCCTTACCTGTCCCGGAGAGCATCATTGTCATAATAGAGACAAGCTCCTCGCCTCCCTGAGCACTTCGAGCTCCACCAGATGCAGGAGTAGTCGATAGCGAGGCCATAGAGGGCTGGAGATGGCAGCCAGGCTGTGGCAGCAGGGAAGAGAGTTCTGAGAGCCTCATTCCTAGGGGACTGCAGGCAGAGGCCCCCCACAGCACCCCTGCCCTGTTCCCACACAGGAGGATGGCTCTGCCCTTCCCTCGGAATCACGCTGGCTTAAGGAAGCAGAATAGCTGCCAGCGAAGCTTAAATTTCTCTTTTACCAGAAGGCTTAGGAGATAAAAGGGACCTGGGGCATCTTTCAGGGAAGGATGAGTCACAGGGTCACCTTGATGCCAACTCAGACACACAGCATTTCTCACACTGAAGCTGGCTCCAGCAGAGACATCACCCCCTGTCCTTCAGGGCTCTGAGATGTAGATTCTTTACCATAACCAGGAGAAGCTGAACTCAGCCACCAGGCTCAAGGCTGTACTCTAAACCCTGGCTTATGCAATTTCAAATCACTTGTTCATTCACCAGCTCACACTGACCTGCTGGGACACCTCACACCCTGGCTATCAGAGCCTCTGCCTTAGGGCCCACTGAATGTCCCAGCTGCTAAATGGTCTGAACTGGCCCAGCAGGCTCTGTGCCTTATGGGGTTTAACATTCTGGGAGCCTCTACTCTGTGTCACTAGCAGTCACGAGGGTGTTCTAGGGAGTCACTGGGCCGAGGTGGGGCTGGTCCAGGACTTCCCCTGACCATGGGCCTTCTCGTTCTGAAGCCATAGTTCTGAGAACAGCTTTCCCACACTGTTTAGGGCCCTGTAAGCTGCTGCTTCTGGAGGAATGAAAGATGCAGTCCATTGTACCCCTGGCTGGCAGCTTCTAGAAGTGGCCTCTCTACTTATTTCCATCTGCAAGTGAACAAGGAATAGGAGCTGACCTAAAGGACAGACCTCCATCTCTAAGTAGAAATAAACTCCGGGAAAAAATCCAGCCAGATCTCAGTGGCAATTGTAAATGTGCTGGCATTACAAAGAGGAAGTCCTCTCATGGACCTCTGTTTCTGCAGTGATGAATGGACTCTCTCCAAAGCCTGTGTTTCCTAACAACGACCCCACATTGAGCTATCTGGGCTCAATGAGAAAACAAAAGTTTCTGGAGCTTTGAGCAGTGGAAGAAAGTGGTCACTCTCAGGGCCACTGAAAGAAGCAGGTTTTGCAGCTGGTGGCTGGACTGGGAGAAATGCAAGGTCCTCTTCCCAGCTGAGGCTTCAGAGCAGATTATAAATGAGGGATGGGTGATGTTATAAATGAAAGCACAGAGCAGCTGTTAATGACACCAGAGCCTCTGGCAGGAGGATGGGGCAGAAACTTTTGCTTTCATCCTCTGTGTTTATAATACAGGCCAGAAGGGCAAGGTCCAAAGAGGCTCAAAGGGAGTCAACAGGAGAAGAGGAGCAAGTGGCCTGAAGCCAGGAAATCCCATGGAAAAAGTTCATTTCTCATCAGTCCATGGGGTCAGATTGGGCCCTGCAGAAGCTTCTATTCAGCCAGCCCCAGAAGGGGCAAGGCCAACTCGCTCTGGAAGGATGGAAGCCACTTCAGGGTGAGCTGTGGTCTGGCCTGCTGGGTATAGGATGCAGAGGTTTCAGTTTGGAAATGTGTGTTGCTAGCCACCCAAGTTCCTGTTGTTGGAATCTCCATATTTCCCATTGCAGTTCACACTTACTAGGTCCTTAATAAATACACTCTGTGGTGGATTCAGTCCCTTCTGTCATTGCAAAGGTCTCCACACTGGAGCCTTGTGTCAAATTTAGAGCATGGATGTGTCAGGAAGACACAGCTCTGTGAAAGCAGTCAGGGAAAGGGCCTGCAGTGTGTCCCCCACTCTTAGCCCATGTTCCAGCTCCCTTGGGCAGCTCTCCCTTCTAGAGGCCACTGCTGGTCACGTGTGCAAAGCTTGATTCTGCCAGTGGGCTCTGGACCGTTTGAGGACAGACAGGGTTTGCAAGCAGAGGACACTATACAGAAGAAACGTTTGCTAAACAGCGGTTGGAGGAGTGAATTTTGTAAAACGGGAAGGAGGCCAGGATTAGGCTCAGCTGCTGTTCTGTCTGGGGCAGGAATGCAAGGTTTGTTCCTACGGCGAATTCTTAAGAAAGATTTTAAAATACCTGCTTTAAAACTCTGTATTAGGTATTCTTGGCTGTGTCTACTTTCCATTTTTATTACATAATTTAGTTTGGAATTGATGCCATAGATGGAATCTTTCCTAACCTTAAGCAATCAGGGAAACGGTCCATGTAGGGTTTGGCATCTGCTGTTGATTATGCATAGTAGAGATGACATGGGGCTTCCCCAACCCTCTCCTGCTCCCCACATGCCTACCGCCTGGGCCACTTCTGGGGACAGGGGCTCTGGGCCACTCACTTACCCAGCAAGCGCATGATCAAGAACTGGACCCCAATGGCAAATGACTTTTCCTCCTGGTTGACAACACTGAAGAGGAAAACAGGAAATCAGCAGTGGAATGATTCAGGGTGCAGGAGGCAGGCAGCCTCAGCGCAGGTCAGAGCCTGCCCTCATGTGGTGCGGTGAGCCACTGGACTGACTGGACTCCCCTGGCCCAAACACTTCTGTTAGGTTAGTGGTTTCCAAAGTATGATTTGTGGATCAGCAGCATCACCTAAGCTCTTGTTAGGAATGCAGATTCTCAGGCCCTGCATCTATTGCATAGACGTGTCAAGAAGAAGCAGAAACTCTGGGGGTGAGGCTGAGCAATCCCAAGCCCTCCAGAAGATTCCAATGCAAAGCTAAGTTTGAGGATTTTCAGGGTTGTCCAGAGTTCATTGGGAAAGAAAGGACAGAAGAGGCAGAGAGCAGAAAGGAGGTTCATAGAGGAGTATTTTCGGTAGCAGGTCTGAACAACTCCTTCAGAGCAGCTTGTACCAGGGAACAGTAGTCCCGGTATAATCAGGGCCCTGGGCTGTCAGCTTCTGTGCATGACTACAAGGGTTCTTTGCTCTGGGCCAGCTCTGTGGCTGTGTAGCCTGCAGCTGCACAAGGCTCCACCCGCAGAAGGGCACCTGTTTGACTTCAGGCTTTACCCTAGCTGTCTTAAAGTTCTTACTCATTTTTGAGCCCACAACTTTACATTTTTTATTTGTATGAGGTCTTGAAAATTAGGTGGCTGGGGGCTGGGGATTTAACTAAGTGGCATAAGGGCCTGCCTTGCAAGCAGGCAGTTGTGAGTTCGATCCCCAGTACCGATAAAAAAGAAAAAGACAAAAAAAAAAAAAAAAAAAAAAAAAAAGAAAGAAAGAAAGAAAGAAAAAGAAAATTAGGTGGCTGTCGCTGCCTCAACCTTTTTCTCTCTCCAGCGAGAGGAGAGGTATGCTTGGCTGAGGAAGGAGTTTGCAGAGAGGGCTGACGGCCCTGCCATCCCAGCTGGTGAGCCGAGCAGTGGACAACCCCTTGCATGAGGTGAAGAGCCCTGAGCTGGACCACAGAAGCACCCACTGAGTGACTTGGCTCTGGACTTTGCTCTGAGCACACATGCTGCTGGGTGGGTGCTTGCTGGGAAAAAGCATTTGGGGCTCAGGGGACAGGGAGGACAGCAGTTCCCTAGAGCTCTGTACACAGTTTGTTTCACTCTCACTACCAAAGTTCTGCAAGCTTGTTGGAAGGGGGATTTCATGGCCCAACAAAGGGATAATCACTGGTGTGTGGGCAGGGGAGGGAAGGAGACCCCAGCTGGGACTCCTGTGGAAAGGGCCTGACACAATTTATGCTCTCTTTTTGCTTGCAAGGCCCCCCACCCCCCATGGCCCATCCATAATAGGTGTCCCCTTTGTCTTGGTCTTTAACCAGAGAAGATTCAGTCAGATTCTCAGTGAGCGAAACTGAGGCACCCCAGTCTGGCTTTTCATGGAGGTCTGGGCCCCTTCTGGTGTCTGCTGCATTTGACCCTGACTTGCTCTCAGGTTTCCAACCATTCTGTCTCTTTCCACATCTTCGGCTTTGCTGCTAGCAAAGAAATAATACTGGAGATGAAGTTATCTTGAAGTCTCATCTTCACAGTAAATAGCGTTCATTCTGTCATCTTTTCCAGAGCGATTTATCTGTAAGCCTTTTTGAAATCCTGGAGCCTTCTCTCTAGTTTTATCCCAGCCCCTGACAGACTTAGAAAGGAGAAATTTTCTTGAAAAGCCCACCCCATGGTTCAAATGGTGCCCTGTTCCTCCTGACTTTCCCTCCTACCATTCGATAGAGATTGTCCTCACTGGGAGCTGCATAGCAACTTCCCTATGAGATTTTTTTACCCTGTCTCCTCTCCTTTCATGGCCTCATACAGATTGCCTCAGGGTCAGAGGATCTGCTATAGTCCTTCTGACCCTGGGGTGCAAAAGGGAGCCTCCCCATGAGATCTTGACCCGTGGCTGCTTCTGCTTCTCCCTTGTCTCTCTGCCTTCTGGAGAAAACAGGTCCTGGGCACCTAGCTAGCTGTTAACTATTATGATGATTTGTTTAACAGTGGTATTTAACCAATATGTAGCACACCAATTTATAAAGCAATCAATCGCATCATCCTGACACTAATTCTTTGAGGTCAGTATTGTCTGCACTTCACAAGTGAGGATCCTGAGGCTCAGTGAGCCAGCATGTGGTGGAGCAGGGACTTTGCCCCTGGCACCAGGGTTCTGAGGCTTGTGTTCCTGCCTGCTCTGCAGGTGAGTGAGGATAAGAGGAAGTGTGGTGAGCAGCAGGAGGGTGATGTAGGTGAACCTGGGTGCAACGCTGTTTTCTCCTTTGCAGAGGAAAATAAAGGGAGGAACAGTCCCTGTAAAAGCCTCAGAAGCACCAGCTGTACTGGGATACCTCTCTGCTCCCCCTCCCACCCTGGCCAGCCTGTCCCTGCTGACCTGAGGACTTGATGTGGCTCCTAGCTTACTGGGATTGTCTGTTTTGGGGCCTTTCCTGTAGCTCTCACGCTGTCTCTGGAACTTGCTTTAGTTTCCTGTCTTGACTTTGTGACTCCAACTGAATTCTCTTCCTTCCTTTTGGTTCTTCCTGGATTTAAAACTAGGTGAATGTGCTAGCATTTCCACAGTGGGGAGCCAGACAGCCTGGCCTAAATATGTGGCTCAGCCTGGCACTAGCTCTAGCTTTCTGGGCTGATGTAGAAGAGAGGTGTTAACAGGCCTGTGTCACACTGGTACTGTGGGACTTAACCAGGATGCAGTGTGCTCAGAGCAGAGCTTGGCCTGATTGCCATAGTATTTGCCCATATTACCAAGAGAGCCTTACATAGTGCTGTTTACAGGACTCTAAGGGTCAGGGCAGGGAGGTGAGATGAGATGGGAACAGGAGGGTCTAAGGACGAAGGGAGATGTGGGGAAATGTGAGCCATGGCCGGGGCCCAGGAGCACCACTCACCGCAGAACCATCATGTAGAGGGGGTTGTGGGAGATGCAGGCTATCAGGGCTGCGAAGGAGATGAGGAAGATGGTCGGGAGCAGGAAGTGGGCACAGGGGATGGGGCACGATCCTGTCTTCGCTGAAGCAGATCTGCCGGGCACACAGCTGCAGTTCAAATATATCTTCAAGAGGAAAGGGGGGGGGAGGAGACATTTGTCTTGATTTACCTCCAAACACTTCTATACCAATATCTATACCACCTCTTGCCTGAGTCACTCTGGGTTAAACCTTTGCCCTACAGGTCCCCAGGAGGTGAGCCTGGATTTGGAATTAGAAAGAGAAAGTGAGCATTTGAAGGTACTCCGGGGTCCCACCTCCCTGAGTGTTTGTGCAGCAGAAATTGTCTTCACCAGAACCAGTGACCAGCATGGTCTGAGCTCCAGCAGCGTGGGTTGGGCTCCTAGATTTGCACCGACATCTGATGCCAAGATCCTACCACCGGGCTAGACCTCCTCAGCTTGCCACCAGTGGATGGGAGGGAGCTCTGCTGTGGCCTGGCCATTCCCCACGCCCAGTTGTGATGGCTGTGAGTGGTGTTGTTTGTGCTGCCTATGCACTGGTGGTTGGGGAAGGTGTAAATAGGGGCACCGACAGAGTCACCTGAGCTCTGGGGCTTTTACACTTTTGAAAGAGTTTCCTATTTGAAAGGAACTCCTGTCTAGAAAGGGCCTCCAGGAGTGTGCCAGTCTAGACAGCTCAGTAATGTTATACATGTCACTTTGATGGCCAGCCTTCCTTCCTGTGGTGTCTGATGGCCCAGCCTGTGACTATGTAAGTACCATAGTTCTCATGCCAGTATTGGAGCTAAGGAGCTGTGGCCCTTCCTCCTGACAGTCAGTAGGAACTCTGCACCCTCTTTGCCTAGGCTCCTAGGAAGCACAGAAGTATATTATGTACCACATTGCTGTTATCTTCCTCAGTCTAGGTTTTTAATGTATAGATTTTCCTCCCCTTATATCATGCTCATGGATTTTTAATCTTGGATCACTGGTGTTGTTATTGGAAACTTGTCAAGATTCTTTTTGGGAGAGGATGAATCAGAGGTGAGTAAATAAAGATAAGAAAACCACAGAAGCCACCACAGACTCCTCCAACTTTAAGGCCACAAAAGCGGCACATTGCCCAAGCTCCTCTTCCTGTCCCTGCCTGAGAGCGCCACACTCCTCTGCACACAGAGGTTTTGCCCTGCCCACACAGCAGGGTGGTAGGTAAGTGGGCTGGTCGGGCCATGCCCTCTGCAGGGCCACAGGTAACAGGTACGGGTTCTTGTCCTTAGGGAAACCTTTGGTAGCTCTTGCACTGCCGCTGCTCTTAGGAGAAAGGACACCTGACTGCTAGGCATGGCCCCAGCCTGTTCCTGGCCCAGCAGGGCCCACCTGCCTGTGTCTGTCCCCCTACAGGAAGCCCAGTGCAGCCCTGCTCACACTGCACCCATTGTCTGCGATGATTTGCCTGGGTTTGCTTCTGCTGCTTGTCAGCTCTCATGCCACCTCCTCAGGAAGGCTCCCAGGCACTCCCTATTCCCATGAAGTTTCTCCTTGGCGTGGGTTGCTCTCTAACATTACCCTTGGCAAGCTCTGTGAAAGCAGGGACCCTGTCTGAGAGATCTGCCACCACATGCTCTATGCCTATGGCTGTGCCCAGAGCTCAATATTTGTTGATTAACTAAACAAATGACAAATTGCTTTACTGCTGACTGATCCTAGGAGACCTGGAGTCCCAGTGTTGAGAGAAGGAGGGACAGGACCTCCCCAGGTGAGCACATGAATGTGGCTGCCCAGATGGAAGGCTGGCAGCCAGGAGAGCCATGGCCTTGTGCCCAGATGCCCCACATGAGGCTGACTTCTGGCTTCTAGTCTTATATCTGCACGACTTTAGGCCAGTTATAGGGCACACCTGGGAATAGAGGGTTGATGCAAATGACCTTCTGGTCCATGTCACAAAGGCCGTCTGCTCTCAGTTTACCTAGGCAAATCAGTGAGGTTTTGAGGAAGGCCAGAATGTAAGCCAAGCAGGGCCCGTCAGGACCTTTCAAAATGTGGCTCATAGGCCTGTGTGGTTGGGGAGCGAGTGCTGTGGCTTGTTTCTGCTGTGAGCATTGTCAGGTCTGGAGTACAAGCTTGTTGGACATGGACCAATCTTTAACTGACTTTGGGCTGGAGGCATCCGGACATGACCCTAAGGCAGGGGAGGTGTAGCGAGGGTGGATGGGGCCCAGAGGATGCCGATAATGAGTCTTGGAGCCAAGGAGCAGTCTGCGAGGACACACAGTGAGCTCTAAGACCGCCGGGGCTCCTCCTGATGCCAGGCCCCCAGCTGCCCTCACCAGTTGCTTGGAGCCAGTAGAGCTCATGTTGATGCCACTGCAGCCAGCGTGACAAGGAGAAAGGTACTCGACTCCATTGTCTCCGCAGACAGGGTGGAAGATGGAATCCGGGCAGGAGCAGTCCCTGCGGCAGGCAGGAGGCTGTGGACGTATAGAACTTGATGTGCTGCCAGCAAAACAGGAAACAAGGAATCAAACAAAGCGAGACCAAAGAAATAATTCTACACTCCAGCCCAGCATGAGTTCCTGGCCTGGCTAATAGGCCTGTGTGTCTCTGTTTGTCTTGGGCCAGTGCCACCTTGGGATCAGAATTATGTGTGTAGGAGCCAACAATGACTCTGCCACTGTTTGGGGTTATGGCGCCTTTCCATTTCTTCTGACATTTGCAGTTTAAACCCACTAATTACTCAGTTGGAAAGGCATGGTCAGCAAACCCTCTGCCATAGTAGGAATCAAAGTAACCAACCAAGCAAGGCTTTGCTGAGAGAAATGACAGATGTGACAGGAGAGTCGCAGGCAGTATTTGCCTTTCTTCTTCTTCCAGCTGGGCTCAGGCTGCAGGTAGGAGCTGGGGTGGGGGCTGTCATTGGCTGCTTGTCTTCTGGGCTCTGAGGACACTGTCCAGGTCAAGTTTCTTCTCATCTTTCTTCAACAGCTCAGTGAGATTCTGTAATTCTGCCTGGCTCAGAGCTGATGCTAAACATAGCATATTTCCTGGTTTCTGGGGCTCAGGTTCACCCTGAAACCAAGCTAATTGGATTTGGGCCCTTCTTAAGAAAACAAAACCTTAACTCTGATAAACTAGTGGTCTGCTAGGACGCTTTGATCACCTCATGATAGAGCACATTATTTAATATCTGATTTTCGACATTGCTGCATATGTGATCAGGTCAAAAGTAAACAGGGAAAAGAAGAATGGGAGGGTACAAAGGATGGCATATGGCAGCGAATCTAGGCTCTGTAGCAAGGGTACTCCTTATTCCTATTACCTGCGAGGGTAGACCTCAGCCACAACAGGAGTGGAGCAGCCCATGAAGAACAGAGGAACACAGAGGATCATAGAGATGGTGATGATGGTGGCAGCCACTCGGGGCATGGTTTGCAGAGGGAAAACAAAACGCTTCATAAGGATTCCTCCAAACAGCATCCCTAGGGCTGCAGCTGGGAGGTTTACAGCACCTAGAGATGGAGAGAAGAAGCTGGTGTGAGTGCACAGCCTGGTTGCACTAAATTGGAAAACCAAGAAAGAAGCATGAAGGAACACTAGAAATGTTAAATTATAATTGCTGGCATCAATCGAGCATTTACTGTTGCCAGGCACATCTCGAAAGTTATCCTTACTAGAGCATTTCCCTGCCTATACAAAGGCATAAATAGTCAGAGCTCTTGCCACCCAAGAAACATAGGTTGAATGTGGATTTATTAAGCACCTTTTACTCTCTGGCCCTCACTGTATCCTGATTGTGACCACATGGGCTTAGTAGGGCAAGGGACATGACTCCTGATCTGCTGGTCAGAGACTGAAAGCCAAAGGGGGAAGTCACAGCCAAGGACCACAAAAGAAGTCAGGGGAACAGGAAAGTCATCTTCAAATCTCATGTATTGACCACCTTGACAAATCCATAAGGTCAAATTCACCCAGTAATTCACTTGGACATCTGGTGAGACCATATCCTCAATTGTAAAAAAGTGCTGATGCTGGGCTCTGCCTCCATTTTGGTTCCACTGTCCTAGGTAGGGCTGAACACCAGAGGAACCTTGTGTCCATTTGGGTTGAGGGCCACTCTTATCAGAGCAAATGTGTTCAAGTTATTGAAGGAGAAGGGAAGAAACCCAGGGAGCTTTTGTTTTCTGCTCCTAGTTCCATTCCCCTCTCTCCTCTTTTGACCCCAATGATGTCAGCTGGGTCAGACATGCAGCTCCTTGGCTGGGAGGAAGGCAGCCTCCAGCCTCCACCCACTCTTGAGTGGAATAATAAGAGCCCCCAAAATCTGCCAAGAACATTCTAAATTGCCAACCAGGAAAAATATCCTTAAAATTCTTTCTCCTGAGCATGTCCTCTGTCTCCTGTCTGTGTCCTGTTCAGCCTTTGGGTGTCTCTGGGCAGACAGCAAAGTACCCAGGCCCTCCCTCAGGTGGCGCCACCCAGCTCCCGGTGCATTTCTGGACCTACCAATGAGAAAGTTGGCATAGGCTGCAGAGGTGCCATACTGCTTCTCTAGGAACTTGTTGAGGAATGTGGAGAGGCCGGCGATGACAGAGGAGAAGGTGCACTGGGCCAGGACCACCAGCATGAAGAGCGGGTTCAAAAGCAGCCTCAGGAAGATGCGGGGGAACCCTATGAGCAGACTATCATCAGTGGCCAGACCAGGGCCATCCTGGCTACTTCTAGACTGGACACTGCCCTGCCTCCTCCCTCTTTGGATGACTCTCTTCTATTCCTTGGGGCAGAACTAGAGGCACTAAGATGTGCAGTGGCCAGCCCTGGAGCACACAGCCACTGGGACTCCTGCTCAGTGTGCTCGTGGGCTATGGTGAGGAAGTACTTAGGAGAACCCTAGTGGCAGGCAGATAGAAATAGAACTAATACTGTTTCCCCCACGAGGAAGGGAGGAAGTGGGGGCCAGACCATGGGGTGGGAGTAAAGACTGCATGCCTGAATTTGGCTTTGCTGGTAGCTGTAAAGAAGTACCCTGCAGAACCCTCCTGAGTGCAAGTAACCTTGGAGTTGTGCCTACAATTATGGACCACCTTCAATGACTGCTCCTGTCAGCCATCCCCTCCCACCAGGCTACGGGGTCAGTCAATTACTTTTAATGAAATCCAACAGGGAACCTCTTGACCTGAGCTCCTCCATCTTTCTTGCTCCGTCCTCTGTGGCAGGAGAACCCTGAAGGCAGAAGAAGGAGTGTTAATAGCCCTTCCCTGGACCCATGACTCTCTGGTCTCAGGGCTCAGGGCTGGCAGGAGTGTACAGGAGTGCTTCCAGAGAATACACTCTTGAGCAAATACCACCTGTATTTCCGTGAGCCTGGAGCCTTGGCTGCAGACCAGAATGCATGTGGGCCAATGCTTTCTGCAGTACCTAAAGGCATATTATTTTATATCTAACTTTCACATGACTGATGCCAACCAAAGGTGTTTTCCTGGATCCCACTCCTGGTTTGTATGTCATGGTTACACTTCTCTCTGGTCCTCAGGTTCCAGGGACTTTTGGCTTGTGGGTCACTCAGATTTGCAATACAGTTTTTAGCTCTTTCTGTCTTCTCTCTGGGGTCCCTGATTTCTTCTGGACCCAGAGGTAAGACCTGCTCAAAACTCTGTTCTAGCCATTCCCTGTACATTTCCTCATGAACCTGCCTCCTTCTGACAGCAAGAGCCTCAGACCCAGGTTCCAGCTCTGTAGCACCACACAGATGCCAGGCCCTTGAGTTTTGCCACTATTAGGCTCAATGCCAGGAATAGGTGCTCCAAGCATTGAGTTCTTACTCCATGCTGAGCAGTGGGAACACTCCACGTGTGTTGTCTCGCATCCCACACTTTCTTCTAAGATAGCTACTCTAATGGCCTTAGTTTTCAAAGAAAAGGAAGCTCTGGAACAAAGCCCCTTGCCTAAGATCACTCAGCTGGTTTATAACTAACACAGGTGCATTCAAACCCAGGTTATGTGACACCACCCAAACCACCAGGACTGTCTGCCAATCTCTGAAATTCTCTCCTAACACAAGCCAAGTTCTTTTACCCCATCCCTCTGCCCACAGCTCGGCCTCATTTCATCCACCTCACTGCCCAACACTGAGCTCTATTATGGACTCAAACCTGGACAAATATGCTCTCCTTCTGCAATCTGGTCCCTGCTGGGTCCTTCACAGCAGCCCCGAGGAACATCTGGTCTTGCCCCTGTCCCAGCTCTCTGATGGCCATCCCTTGTCCTCAACTGTGTGCTTTGTCTCTCACCTGAACTTCTTCAGATCTTCCTCACCCCTAACCTCAACCCAGCTTCCTTGTTGCTACCAGGTGACCCAGTCGCTACAGTGCCCAGGACCTCTTGGGATACTCCCTGTGTAGAGTACATGCTGTAGATCGTTCAGAGGGTCAACCAGTCTTCTCTTCCCTGTTTTCCATTGTCATCCTGCCTGATTTCTTTCCCCAGATAGCACTAGAAGGTGCTTGGATTATCACCTTCCTCAAGATATTCTCCACTTCCCTTCCATCTACTCTCACACTGCAGTGCTCAGGGCCCCAATTCTTAGACCTACCTACTCAGCTTTTATGTACTGTTAAGTCTTTAGCCCAATTTAGTTCAACTCAGTGTTTCCCAAACTGTTTCCTGGAAGCCTCCCAGCCTCATGAGAAGTCCTCTAGCATGACCCAGAATTTGCTTCAGCATCACCCAGAATTTGCTTAATCTGCTGTTGCTTTTCAATTCTGTGTATTTTCTACACCTGCCTATCTCTCTTAAACAGGTAGACTCATGGGCTTTCAGAAACTTACATCTGTTCCTCTGGGCATCGTTTGAGGAAAGAAGAAAAAGGGGAAAGAGGTGAGAACCAAACAGGCTGAAGAAATGAGCAGGCCCAGCCACCAGGCTCCAATCCACCGAGGGTCACTTGGACTCAAGTTAACTTTAGCTGAAGAGAAACAAAAGAATACAAGTGTTCATTGAGTGAATGCATGGTCTCTGGAAAGAGAAGCTCTATTCAGAGAATGTTCTATTGACTTCTCCCTGCAATGAAGACATGCAAACCATGAGCTAGAACTTTGGTCAGGAAAACATTCCCTCTGCAGGCATTCTGATTTTCCCATAGAACTGAGGGAAAATGTACATAGAGTTGAGCATTAGCAAATCTCCAAACCCCACACACTTTACATCTGTTATCTCACTGGACTCACTAAGGAGGTCTCGAGGCAGGGGCTACATCTCTTTACCTCTAGCCAGTTAGGAAGTTAAGGTCAGAGTTTAAGTTCTTTAAGTTTAAGGCTAATAAGTGCCATTTCATCAGTCAATTTCAATTCTATATCTTCTGGGTGCCCAAACCTATACTTCTAACCATTGAACTCTACTACATCTCAGCTTTATTGATCATTCCTAAGAAAGAGTTCTAAGTAAGCAGTCACCAACAGTAGGGCTGCCTGACCATCCATGGAGAGCCCTTCTCCTGGCCACTGTCCCCATACATCTGGAAGTCTTCTGTTGCATGTGTCTGTGCAGACAAATTGTAGAGAACAGAAGATGGCAGAACAGTTCATAGCTACACTGTGACAGGGACCCCTGGCCACTAGAAGGTCAGCTACTGGTTTCTTTGGGCAACCAAAAATCAGGGATCAATTTAGGAACTGCCAACAAGAGGCCAAGGATGGCTGGTCCTGAAGCATAAAACTCTCGCTGGCTTGCTACTTCCACTTGAAGCACAGGCAATTGACACTGAGCTGTGACACCCCCTAGGACAGGACTCAACTTTGACAGCAGGTCAGGTTTAGTGTCTGCCTGTGTTCCAGGCACTGGTGGGGCTGCTCTTCCTGAGGGTCTGACTCTGTCCTGCCTCCCAGTGCATGCCCAGGCTAATGGCAACTTCAGACAGCATCCACACTCCCCATGCTTCCCACCCTCTTGGCTATGTTTAAGTGGCTTCAACCCTCCCATCACTTCCAGTAGAGATCCCACCCATCTGTCACGGCTCCACACATCACAGTTCCAGGAAGTCCTCCCTGACTGCCTACTGCAGGAGTGCTCTCTCCTGCTCTTAAACTTCCAAAGTGGCCAGGCATGGTGGCACATGCTTGTAATCCCAGCATTCTGAGAGGCTGAGGCAGAAAAATAATAAGTTTGAGCCTAGTGTGGACAATTTAATGACTTAGAGAGACTCTGTCTGAAAATAAAAAAATAAAGGTCTGGTATGGCCGGGGATAAGTTCAGCAGCATAAGCGCTTGCCTGGCAAGTGTGAGGTCGTGAGTTTGATCCCCGGCACACACACAAAAAAGTCTGTTGATGTAATTCAGCGCTAAGGTTCTAGGTTCAAGCCCCACCATAACAAACAACACAACACAAAACAAAACAACAAAGAACATTCAACCCATCCAACCACAGAAAAACTTCCAAAGCACTTTGCCATTCCCTCTGCCACAAGGTCAGCCTTTTTTGTCTTGTGGGAGGCTGGGGGAATACAAGACATGCCCACAGATGCAGGAAACCTTTGCCGATCTGGGTGTAATAGCACACACCTGTAATATCAGCTACATGGGCAACTGAGGCAGGAGGATTGCAAGTTCAAAGCCAGTTGAGACAACTTGTGTCTTTAAAAAAAAAAAAAAAGGACAAGGCCTTGAAATGTAGCTTAGCATTCTGGTTCTTAAAAGGTTAACTCCGACTTGTGCCTGGTTTATGGACTATAGTTTCTCATGCTAAGATTCTCAGTGATTTAGTCATTATCATTTTGGAAGAATATGAGCTCACATCTGTTAACCTCTTAGCATATCAAGCTTACTCTAATCTTTACAACTGCTGGATTTTTACTAGCATTTGCAGATGAGGAAACTGCACTTCATAAAAATCAAGTACTCAGACCGCTTAGCTAGTGAAAAGTGGAAATGATAAGGCACAATTCCAGGACCCACGCGGGGTAAAGGTACCATGTCACGCTCTTCTGGGTGAGTCACAGCCCGCAGTTATATCTTATGCAGTGTTTCTTTTTCTTTGAGAGTTCTTATTAATTCTTTTTAAACAATCAGCAGTACCTTAAAGAACCAGAGAGCTACTTTTAATGCTGCCATCAAAACAGACAACTGCAGAGACCATTCTCGAAGGCTGCCCTAGGTCTTAAGGTTCCTGCTGCAGACTTAAGGGTAAGAAGTATGTTTGCTCCAGCAGCTCATGCCCACCAGGACCCAGCATGAGCTCTGGTGAGGGGAGGCACAGACTGCCTGCTTCTTGCTGTCTGAAGGACTGCAGGAGGGAAGGAAGAAGGGAAGGAGGGAGGGAGGAAAGGAAGCAATGAGCTTCTGAAAGTGGAACTTCATTCTCTGCCCCAATTAGCTGGGAGGTGGGCGGGGATATTTCATGGAATTGCACACACTCACCTGTGTCAATCCTGCCATAGTCCACAAAGATCTGCAGCATGACAGAGCCCAGCAGGTACCCAAAAGCTGGTCCAAACACAGCAATCGCAAATAGGATGGCTGGAAATTGAAGCAAGGGAAAGGATGCTGAGGGGGATTGAGAAGACTGGGCAGCCTCATGCATCTGAGTTGGGGGGGATTCCTGGCATATCGCCTACCCATTCTCTGGTTCTAACAAGCCCATACCTATGGCTCTGACAAGCCCATTTCTTCTCCCACGGAGAATGTCATAATGACTCAAAATGCCAAGATTTATAGCATCAAGCCTTCTTTTCCTCTAGCCACCCACTGGATAGGAAGGAAACAGCCCCCATGGCATGCTGAAAATGCCAGGTCAGGGATGTGTTGATGAGTGACGTTTCCCGCTGGCACAGTGCTGGTAGCCTTGGCAGGAGTTTCTGGGGTCAGAGAGCCTGTGGCTATGCTCTTCCTGATGTGGAGCTTGGGCCTGAGGATGCTCCATGTGGCTGGTTCTAAAGGAAGAGTGGATTTGGGCATACAGGTGGCCATATGCTGTTTGCTGTGCATGTGCTTGTCTGAGGCTAACATGCCCTGAGGTAGACAACTGGGGTGAAATGTATGTACCCCAGCTCTGTCTACAGGACTGGACAGCACTAGGGGGTGGCTATCATATTCTCTGCAAAATAAGGCCTAACCCTAAAATAAGCCCTAGCATGCTTTTTTAGGATGCCTATGATATAGACTCCCCCCCCAAAATAAACCCTAGTAAAGAGCATCAGTTAGGTGGATACATTTAGTATATCCACTGCAATATATAATAAAGGCATTGAATTATAAAATAATATAAATAAATATGATAATATAAGTTATAATTAAGTACTTATAAAGTTGTACTTGTAACTTGTAAGTTACAATTAAGTACTGGTAAAGACCCAAGTGGGTGCCTTTGGACAAGAGGTAACACCTTTTCTGAGACTGCCACATGACCAATCTGAGTACAGACACATGCACAAATAACATGCACAGTTGATAAAGAACAGATGTGGTTGTATCTTATATGAATTTTCATAGCTCAGTACCCTGTGTTGAATCAACACACAGAACTGCTAGCAGGCTACTTGGACCAGAAGTGTGCATTTAAGGAGCTCTCTACTGCTGGACATGAGAGATTGGGTCAATATTTCTTATGGGAAATAGAGACTCAAGAAATTCAGACAAGAATTCAGGTTTTGGAGAGTTACGATGATGCTCCAGAAAAAGATGCCATGACTATATTTGAATAGATGCAGTTTTTTTGTACATGAAGAAATGTAGATTGTTATACATGGAAAAATAAGACATGCCATAAAAATCATCCCCACTGCATCTTTTGGAGTAAAAATTAGTATGAGACTCGCTCTTATTTTGAGGGAAATACGGTATTGGTTTAGCACCTACAGTGACCCCTGCTTGGGGTCTAGTGGGTACAGATCTTAGCTCATGTAAGCTCACAGAGGTCTTAGCTCCATCCACAGGCACCATGCAGCTGGGAGTAAGAGTCAGCGTTGGCACCAGGTCTGCCTGACCCCAGAGCTCTGTACTCATTTGCTGTTTTGTGGGCAGAGTTTCAGATGGACTATTAAGCCCCCAGGGCCTCAGCAAGTGCTGTGTCCTGGCCCCTCCCCACAGTCCACATCAAGCCTATGACTCACAGATGTACAGGGGCGAGTTGTTGGGCTCTGCAAAGTCGTCCACGTAGGAGATCCCAAATGGCTGAATGGGCACGGTACCGATGCCAGCCAGAAGCTGGGCGATCACCATCAGGCCCCACATGCTGCTGGTCTCCTTCTGCACGTCTTGCACAGTGTTTGGGCACTTACCAGGGGATAGGTTATGCCCACGCCTCTGGCAAAGTTCTGCCTGGACGCGGCTGAGGTTCCCTGCAACGAGAGTGCCTAGTGGTTACTACCAGCCCAGCCTCCTGGTTCTACTGGCTGACCTCCAATCCCCACTTTCCTTTTAGACTTCCAGGAAATGGTCCCTCAGCAACACTCTCCCTGCTTAGCTGGCAGGAAGGACTCAGAGACCAAGGTGAGAGGGAGCAGATTGTGGGTGGCCACAGGAGCAGCACTTCCCAAGTGGGAGAGGTATCATCTTCTCACGGTGTTCAGCCTTTCTCCTCCACAGGTACTCGTGGAGAGCTGATCATGAGGGATACATATCTCCATGGGAGGAAAGAACCACCCAAAAGATAAAATAAACAGGAAGTGAAAAAGCTGGTTTTATCCCTAGGTAGTTGTGTAATGTTGAGCAAATTTCTAATTCTCTCTGAGCCTCAGTTTCCCTTTAAACAGAGACTGTAAGGTAGTGGATACAGGGAGTCCATAGGAGCCACTGAGAGTTGCAAGACTGTTGTTTCAGAAAGGCCTGGCAGGTAAAACTGGATATTTTCCATAAGCCAGCAGGCCTGGTGGCTGTACCCGTCTCTGGAAGAAGGGCTGGCATGGCTCAGTAATGCTGTGAGGCACCCTTCTCAGGACAGCACTTTAGTCTGGAAGAACACAATGATAAAACATTGCTGAGAGACACAGGAGTGGTCTGATTACCCTCCACCCCACTCAGGAATCCTTCTAGTGACACTAACCCTGTCCCACACCCAGATATGGTATGGTGCTTGCAGACTCATGTAGATCCCCAGGGGGAGATCCTGGTGGCCAGGGCATGAAACACCAACAGATGTTGGAAGGGCTGGGCTGGAAACTGAGATCTTGGTTCTAGTCTTGGATATGTTACTCTCCTTGCCAGGGTGCTTGACTTTCAAAGACCATTGATTTTTAGCAAGGGACCACACAGCAGAGGATAGGAGGCCATGGTGGGCCAGGTAGGCAGGCTAGGCTCGCTACTCATCACTGCCTTCATGACAGCAAGTCCTGAGACTGAAACATGAGCAAGTACCATGGTCCCTGTGGCCTTCTTCAAGACCAAAATGTGCTGCAAGTTTGGACTGAGGGTGCAGTGGCTGCCTGGCCCAGGAAAGGGTCAGGTATGTACACAAACCTTTTTGACCCAGCAAACTATCACTCAAACAAACCAGCCTGCCCCCTCCTCTGTTTGCCCTCCTGGGCCAACTTTGACCAAGTGGATGCATTTCTAAGGAGTCAACATCTATGTAGAGGGCTGCTGCCAAGTTTTCAAATAGGTATTTCTTTCCAAAGATTCAAAACATTTTCAGGTACATTTTATATGAAGAAATGAGTGAAGTCAGAGTTCCCCGAAACCTGTCACTTGTAAGTGTGCTTGGCTAAGCCATCCTCCTTCACGTAACAGTGGCTCTCTGTGGAACATTGTTTCAGAAGCAGTAGGGTGGCAGAGTCAGGTCCATGTCATATTCAAGAATGGTTTAAAGTCACTTGAAGGCAAAGGATGGTACAAGAAATAAGTGCAAATAATCGGATCCTGCTCCTAGTGTGGCCACTGAAGGACCTGCATAGACCCAAGCAGTACCTTCTCAAAAACAGTGTAGGTGGTGCTCGCTTTTCAGAAGAACCCTCAGCACAAGGCCTGAAGGGATGTCAGGACCACATCACTCTGTCTTTGCTCACTGTTACTTATTACTCCGTAGTGACCAAAGGGCCCGTGCTTAGGTGGGAGATGTGGAGGGGCTAGAAAGCCATAGGCAATGTCTTCAGCCTACTGTGATCTGCAGATCATGGGAAGGGCAGCTGTGATACTGCTTGATCAAACCAAAACCACTCTGTGATACTACTTTACACCCAACAGTTTGGTTATTTTCAGAAAACAACAAATGTGAGCAGGTCATAGAGAAATTAAAAATAGAATGACCATGTGGCCTGGCAGTTCCACTTCTGGATATATACCTAAAAGAACTGGAAGCAGAGACCTCAACCAGTATTTGTACTTCCATGTTTACAACCTTATTTATAATAACCAAAAGGGAGAAACAACCCACTATTCATTGAGGGATGAATGAATAGACAAAATATGGCAGATACAATGGAACATTATTCAGCCTGAAAAGGAAGAGAGTTCTGACATGTGTCGTAATATGCATGAGCCTTGGGAGATTGTGCTAAGTGAAATAAGCCAGATGCAAAAAGACACACGCTACGTGACTCCATGGATAGATGGGATCAAATTCATAGAGTGAGGAATGGTGATTGTCTGGGTATGGTGATGAGAGAATGGGGTAGAGTTTGCACAGTTTGCAGAACAGTGAAAATATATTTAATGCCACTGAATGATACACTTAAAATGGCTAAATGGGAATTTTTATGTTATGTACATTCCACCACAGTTGAAAAAAATTGCTTGACAGATGCTGGGACAGGGTGCTAGAGAGTGAAGGGAATTGGTATAAGAGGAATTGGAGAGAGAGGCTGCCTCATCTGAGACCCCATAGGCTGAGACGGAAGATAAAGATGCAGTGGGGCTGCGGGGTAGGGGTGCTCAGGAACAGCAGCGGGGCCGCTCCGAGATGGGAAGCCACACTGCCAGGAGAAGAGAGAAGCGCTGGGAAGAGCACTGACCTGTATTCTAATAAAACCCCAGAAAAGGCAGATCTTGAGGTGGGCAGTGCAGTGAAGACCCTGGGAGATTAAGGCTGCACTTCAAGGCCCAAGTTGGGGAAAGTTACTGTCAGAGATGTAGGTGGTGGGAGAAGTGAGGTGGCCAGAGAAGCAGTTAATTTTGCGTAAACTCGAGTTCTTGGTCCCATGAAGTTGAGGTGTGAGGACTGCGTGGTGGGGCTGTGTAAAAGTGGGTATGTAAGATGCACAAGGCCAGGCTACTGCAGGAGGAGCTCCCCCGGAGAGACAGAGGGCCAGAGAACACGGGATTCTTTAAGGATGCTAGTTTTTGATTTGCTGATTCTTGTCATTTTGCTCAGTTCAGTTTTTAGAACCTTGTTGTTGACTTGGCTAGCAAGAGCATTTTTGTGGGCTATTTAATGGTCAGCAAAGATCATAAAAACGTTGACTGCCTCATTAAGTCTTCACATGGCACATTGCATAGTCCACCAGTGCCACGAAAATCCTCATGGAGTTTCACCTAACGCAGTATCCAGAAAGCAGAGTTCTCTGGGGATCACTTAACTGTTATTAACTTTTAAAATGTCAGATTAAACATCAGAAACTGCTTTTATTAAAAAATGTGTATTTTTACAAAATCATCAATTGGCCATAATTATATCCAAGTCTACTGAGCGCCTCTTGGCCAATTCTTTATTCCATGTGGATTCACTATCTCCTCATGACTCTCTTATCCTTCAGCTAAGCTGATTGGGATCTAAACTTGTCCCACATCAAGCTCTCACACTTGTAAAATGGAAGAGCCATTAAATGAGCAAAGCTTCTTCCCCTGTGGGCACCCACAGCAGCGGCTGGCAAGCCAGAGGCTAGATGCTTCAGGGCTGGAGTCTGAACCTGTTGCCTGATCTTATGTGGGAACATGTGTTTACATCAGAATCAGAGTTAGATGTGATGTGAGATCAGAAGAGCTCAAGCCTGGGATGGGCTGCATCGAGTGTTCTCTGCTGAGAACAGGGCCTTCTAGAAGTTGGATGTTGTGTACTTATAAAAAATAAGAGGACACATGTAGGTGAATGTGAGGGGCAGGAAAAAGGGAGCAAAGAGGTTTTGCAGAAAGACTGTACTATAGGCAGACTTTCCTTCAGGCAGTCTGTGTTAGTGTATGTTGGTCTGTTTCTCATCTTCCCCAAGGCAGACTTCTGGAAGACTCCAGTTCATCGGAACACATTCTTTCTCCCAAAGGACACCAGAGGCCTGGCTCTTCCAGTTTTCACAGGACTGTAAAATGCTAACTGAAAACAGGCAGGGCCCTCACCCCTCCTCCTGCTACCCCAGCCCCACCCCAGCAGCATGTGGGGTTGAGTCAACTTTTTGACTCATCTAAAATTTACATATGCAGAATTGTCCTCCTAATATCTGGATCTCTCAGCAGGTTGGAAATACAGGAGATTCTGTGTGGAAGGTCTCTCTCCCTACAGTGGGGCCCACAAAGATGAGGCAGGTCAGGGGAAGACAGGTCTGGCCACTCTGTTGCTCCAGGCTCCTGACCACCTCTCCTGTGGCCAGATTGAGAGTGTTGCAAGGTGGTCATGGGCATAGTAGGGTACCTCTGCGCAAAAGTCTGTAGCTGGGGTGGAGAGGACCGTAGAGGGATCAACGTAAGAAGGCTCTGGCAAATAGTGCTTCCTTGATTAGTCATTCTTTCTCTCTGTAGAGCAAAAAGAGAATTCTGCCAGGAAACAGGAGAGTAGCAGAGTCCTGTTTCAAATAATGGTCCTTGAGAGCCACCATTCCTCCTACCCAGGAAGAGGCATGATTGGTAACTGGGAGGTTGTGGGAGAGCAGAGTAAAATGAGGAGGAAGTTAGCAATTTTAAACCCCAGAAACAATTCCATATGACAATGGAAACTTGCAGGGGTGCTTCCGTGCTTCCAGAAGGACAGCCAAGAAGCCAAGCACTCAGGGTATCTGCACAGCTCTTGGAACTCCCAGTGCTCCATTCTGAAGGACCTATTTCCTCATCCTCCTAAATCCAGCTCTTCAATAATTCTTCCCAAAACTCTGGCAACACCCACTGGCAGGCTGTTTGGAAGTCACTCACCATGTGAGATCTAAAGTTGTTTGTAAACTGGGCTGTTGCAGATTAGAAGCAATTGAGTTCACAGTGGAGTTAATCACAGTCTTGTTAATCCACAGTGTCCGTGGGATATGTGTTCTATTCTAACGAAAGTAAGCCTCCATTTATAAAATGATTTCTGTAAGCAAACACATTTTGAATTTCGTCTTGGGAAACCAAGAAAACACAGTCTTCTGCTCCAGCAGAAAAAATAGGATCAGGATTGTCAGCCTGGAGGAAGACATTGCAGGGCTATAGCATAAACTTATTTTGAAAC